CAGGTTATGAGAAGAAAATGTTGCAATATTTAAACACATTGTGCAAGAATATAAATCGTGTCCTAATTTGGGTGCCTTGTGCCTGAGGTAGGCCTAGCGACAAATTAACTTGGAGAACTTATAATGCTAAATGCCTCATTTTATTGATAAGAAATAAGACGAATCCAAAGCGATGCTAAATAACGAAAAATAAAATGTCACTAGTGGCATTCGGCCTTATTACATCATTAGAAGAAAAATAAAAGACTCCTAACTACTTGGTCCTAGAAGGACCTTCTCCAGATTTGGTATCCCCCTCGAACAGATTCACCAGCTCGCGCAGTCCTAGTAGCAGATAAGCTTGGGCCAAATGTCCGCCTACCATCCCTTCAGCGTTTCGACAATCTTCAATCCTCTTGAGGAACTTTCCTTCTAGCTCCACTAGACCTCGCTCCAAATACCCTAGTCGCTTGTTGGCGCTGATAGCCATATCCTTCCATTCCTCGATCAACTTCTGATGGGATTCTTGTATTTCCCGATGCTCACTTTCACACTCTCGAATCCTCTTGCGCAGTTGATTGTACTTAACCCGTGCTTCAGCTTTCTCGTCGATGATTCTATGTCCGTGAATGAACCTGGGATGACCCATACCATTGTGATTATCTTCCAACCAACCCGAATAGTGCGGCACACAACCAGCGTGATACCTGTCTGGCTCAATAGATTCTTTCCCCAAAACGAGCTTGCAATGCCACATGTGTTGAGCTTGGCATTTGTGAGGGCTATCATCATCCTAGAAATCAGCCCTAAAGTGACTCATTTCGTCGACCCTTGGTATGATTTGCTTTCTTCCAGCCTGCCTCATGGCTCGGAGGGGAATGTAGGGATAAGTTCCTCTTAGACCAATGAGTATGAGAAATGGTGCATCTCGGGATCGAACAATGAATTCTTCCGTAGGGAACCATTCGAACATCCACTGTACCTGGTCTTCTTTTAGATTCTCAAATAGCTCCACCCATCTTCCAGCGTCCTCTGGTTGAGCGAACATGTATGCCTTGGCTGGTGGAAGGCAATGTGATCATCCCAGTCTCTGCATAAGATCTCTCGTCGGTATTCTCCTTTCTGGAGGTGCTCCATGAGCCAGAGCTGAAGTAATAGATTACATCCCTCAAAAATGACCGGCCTTCCGCTGACAGTTGTCCAGAGCCCGGTATATCTCAGAAACAATCATGGTCACTATGCTGAAAGGCTATCCGCCGATTCCTTTTATTAGAGTCATGGTTACCATGGCCAATCTGATGTGGATCCTAGCCTTCTTCATAGGGAACACTATCATCCCCAGGAAACAAAACATGAATACGAAGACCCTTCTGTGAATATGCCCCAGTGAGGTGAGGGTAAATTCATCTGAGTAGGTGCAGTATGACTTTCTATGGCCGTACCTCTCATACAGATAGTCGAATGGGATGTTGGAGTCTTTCAAACAGGTCAAGTCTGGGTTCTTCTTCAGTCCCATCATCTTAAGGAAACCCCTACCCTTGTGATTCTCTGGCATAAACAAACCCGGAGTCTCCCAAGGAATACAGCTAAGCCTTCTATTTCTTCGAGCAAAAGAGTCATTTCAAGGTTCCCAAAACAGAATATGGACCTGTCACTATCCCAGAACAGAGTTGCAGCCTCTATGATTTTGTTGTCAGGCTGGATTTCTAGAAGAGAAGGCAGATTCCCTAAGTATTTGTGGACGAGTGTCTGATCACTGGAGTGAAGATCTTCCCACCAATTCAGCAGCCTTGGATGAATGTTGGTTACCATGCCAAATCTGGGACTTCATGCCTCATTTTCTGCCAAACATAGTGTTAGACCCTTACCCTGCCGGACTCGACTATTTAAACCAATAATTAGCATAAAAAGCATTTAGTTCTCCAAATAAATGCACAGAACATGTAGGTGTCCGTTTGGGTTTCAGGGAAACCCGATGGACTTTGGACAAGGCTATCTTAATGAGTCATTATGTGGACAACATAACTGACTCGACTAGTTTTTTTAAGAAATCCACTAGGCATAGCCTAGGGTTGGTTTTTATTAATATATAAAAGGAGAAACACAGTGTCATGAAATCTTAAAAGGTGCACGAAATAAATTTTGTAAACTACATAAGACCTATTATCAAAGTTGAGTAATGTACTCAAAGTTGATATCACACAAAGTGTAATAAAATTTGTATAACTAAAAGCCAGCCCATACAATTCATGCATTAGTATACGCCTTTCTCCTTCGCATTTGCTTCTATCCCGTTGTAATTTAGGTCCTGCTGTTTGCATACATAACTTTTTTCTATGTGGCTTATCGATCGCAATGTCCAGTCCATTCTTTTATTGGTGCTGCTGCATTATTCATGCGTCCAATCTGTGTTCCAGCTTAAGATAGTTGAAATTCATTAGCCACGCTTTATCTGCATACAACATAGAATGTCGACCTAGTGGTTCCTCCTAGGAAACTGGATGTGTGCGCTTACTCTTCTGTTGCTATTGCTTAATGGGAGCATTGTATTCCCACGCATATACTCTTTTCGTTCAATCCCTTTGTTGTTGCTGTGCCGAAGTTGAGAGAATTGGCCATTGTTTAATCACTGGCCATTATTTAGTTACTGCCTTTGTCGAACACAGAGCTGGAACATCCCTGTGCTCGCACATGCTGTAATCTAGCATTTCTCGAATTGTGCAAATGTAGTGCATGCTCAAATGTCAAAGCATTCATGTCCAGCATGCATTACATTTCCAGCGTGCATTTCCATGTGAAACCAGGCGTGCCTCCCTGTTGGTATTGTACTCCCAAAATAGCACGCCCCAGCTACTTTGGTTGTGACAGCTGCCATCATCCATACGTGCATCAAGATTTTCTGAAAACAGGCAACTGCACACGTGCGCTTATTCTTCCATTCCTGCATTCCTTTTGATTCCTTCCATTCTCGATTGCGCTGCCCAGACCAAGAGACAGGCTTCATGCTTTCCACATTAAACCATGTGCGCACATGAAAGGGTTTCTCGAAATCACTACAGCCCACAATGCTTAGTTCGATTTATTAAAAATTAGCCGGATGTTTGCAGCGTCCATAATGTGAGCTTACAACTTTTTTCGTAAAGTTGATTTGTATTTTGTTTCCAAAACGCATGCTTAATTCTTTTTCCATTCCCTTGACCAGATCCTGTCGAGTGCCATTCATGTTCCAGCAATAAAACAATAAAAGAACTATATTTCCCACAAATTCCCTAGCGTGCTGGTGCAAAATCCAAACGATTTGGCATTTGTTACTGTGCAGAACTTCACGTGCCCATCTTGTTTTCCCATGCTATTTCAATACTTCCCTTTGATGTGGAACAACCATGAAAAGAAAAATTGTAAAAGTGCCAAAGCCCACCTTTAATGTCCTCCCAGTGGATTGAATGCAATGCATCAATACCACCACTTGAGATTCAACTATAAGATTAGGCTTTAGCTTCGATGAAATACATGCAAAAAAGTGAACAAAGTTAGCGGAAAAATTGCTATCCAAACTCTCCTCAAGAATGATTCGAGTCCGATAACAAAAAGAATCCTCTTTTCCTCCTAATTTCTTGCAACCTTCACTCTTATGTAAGGACATTGCATCTTATATTCATTAATAATCCTCCTTCCTTTTGAGTCCATATACCAGAAACCATGGCATTCAGTATTTCCTTCATCTAGAGCATAATTGGCAAGGTGGTCTGCTAATATATTCCATTCTCTGAATATGTGTGTGACCTTGATGATACTTTGTTCCTTCAATCTTAAAATCTCCTCTACATGTTCAGTAACATACCAAGGAGGCTTCCATGATTCCTCTATAATGTTCTTTAATAGCATAGAATCTGTCTGCAGCCATATCCGGAATAATTAAGATTTTTGCACATCTTCAATGCCTCCACAATAGCTACCGCTTCTGATTCATTGTTGGTTCCTTCAGAAATCTCCCTTCCTTATGCATATATCAAATCACCTACCTCATCCCTTATGCAGAAATCAATTGAACTCCTCCCTGGGTTCCCTCTACATGCTCCATCCGTATTCATTTTGATCCATCCTCTTGAAGGAAATTCCCATAAAACTTTATCATATTTCAGTCGAGGTGTGTATTGCTCCATCATTGTCAGTAAGTTCAGCCACTTCTGAGGCACACGTAGTCCATGCTTTTTCATTTGGACAAGTGCTTGCACCGTAGATAACACCTAGTAAATAACTCTGCTCACTGACACTGCTTCTCCATATATCAAACTGTTTCTTCTCTTCCAAAGTTCCCATACAATGCATGCTGGTAAAACTTGTAATACTGGCTTCAATCTAGGTACAGGTGGTGCTGGCCAACACTTTGTAATTGCGTGATGTAATGACAAACCATCTAATGCAATTCATGCTCTCCTCATGAAGTAAGTCCAAACACTTCTAGCTGCATTGGATGTGAAGAACAAATGTAGTAATGACTCCTCCTTAGGATCAGCACATCACCAACATTTAGATGGCATTGAGTATCCTAGTTTACGCAATAAATCATCTAGTGACAATTTGGCTTTCCACACCTTCCACATGAAGAAGGATATATTGAAAGGTAAACCTTTTACCCATATCATCTTGTAAGCTAATCTTGGGTTGGCTCTTCTTCGCACGTAATCCCATGCAGACTTTACTGTAAAATGTCCCCTTGTTTCAAGCATCCAGAAAGGAGTATCTAAGTGTGAACTTTCAGTTGGTGGTCTAATATTCTGCACAATGTGGTGTGCCAAACCTTCAGGTAGGATCTCAAACATTTTATCAACATTCCACATACCATTTTCAACCATATCATTGACATTACGAATATCCTCATCGATACCAAAATCTGTCGGTACTTGAAAATATAAGGCTCCCATCTCAGTTCAATTGTCGAACCAGAATAGAGCTGATCCCATTCTCAGTTTCCAGTAGATTTGATGCTCAATCAAGTCCCTACATTCTAGCATTTTTCTCTATGCGTGGGATCCACCCTTCCAAGGTGCAATTACTGTATTTAGTTTCTTGCAGTACTTTTGACTAATAAATGCACTCCACAAACTAGGCTTTGTCCTGAAATTCCACCACAATTTGTAGAACAATGCCTTGGATACATTATGTAGGGACCTGAAACCTATGCCTCCCTCATCATAAGGCATACAAAGGTTAGTCCAAGATGCCCAATGTCTAGTGCTGCCTCCCACATTGCTGCTCCAGAAAAACTTGGCAAAAATGCTATGTAATTTGTTTATCACATAACTTGGTGGATTAACTGCTGACAACATATGAATTGGGATACTTTGTAGGACATTTGCGATCAAAACCGCTCTGCCTTCTACAGATAGGAGTTTTCCTTTCCATGACTGCAGTTTGTCCATAACCTTGGTGATTAATCCCTAGTAATAGTCTCCCCTTCTTCTTGCATAAAAAATAGGACATCTGAGATAGGTCATAGGGAAACCTTGTCTTGTTATGCCTGTAAACCTTACCACCTTGTTAATCACCTCATTATCCGTTAAATGATGCAGGTATATGGCTGATTTGGCTTTGTTCACCAATTGACCAGATGATGATTCATAAGCTTTCAAAACCTCCATGACAAGTCTCAATGAAGTTTCATCAGATGAGCAGAAAATGATCGTATCATCAGCGTATGATAGATGATTTATTTTTGGGCTCCATTTTGGCATTCCAAATGCACAGAAATACAGGTTAGTGTGTAGTGAATTCAATCCCCGAGAAAGTGCTTCTGCTGCTAGAATGAATAGAGTTAGTGACAAAGGGTCACCCTGTTTAACTCCCCTCGATGATTTGAAGAATCTATTAGGCTGACCATTTATAAGAATAGAGTACCAATTGTTCCCAATCAAATCAAAGATCAATCCAATAAAAGCTTCAGGAAATCCCATTTTCCTTAGTATTTTGGTCAGGAAAAGCCATGAAAGCCTATCGTAATCTTTTGTCATATCAAGCTTAATCACAACATTTGGACCTGCTTTTGTTCTCAACCTGATATCCTTAATGATTTCTTGAGTTAGCAGCACGTTCTCAACTATGCTTCTGCCCTTCACAAAACCTGCATGTTCCTCTGAGATTATGTTTGGTAATAATTCAACCAACCTCTCATGAATAACCCTAGAGAAAATCTTGTTAGCAAAGTTGCTAATATGATTGGTCTCATGTACGCAAAGGTCGTAACTTCTTTTTTCTTTAGTAATAAAACTAGGTTTGTGTGTCTCACACTCTTTGGCAACTGCTGACCGCAAAATAAAGCCTTAACCATGCGGACTACATCTTCTTCAATAATTTCCCAGCATGTTTGGTAAAAGGCTCCAGTGAATCCATTCGGTCCACCAGCTGAGTCCCCATTCAACCCCATAATTGCTCTCTTCACTTCTTCATTGGAAGGCAAAGCCATCAATCTTTCATGTTGATCACTATCTACCATTGAAGGTACATGATTTAAAATATGAAAATCATTTGGAACTGTACTCTCTGTAAATTGATCCTTGTAGAACTTTACTGCTTCTTCTGCTATTAAGTGATCTTCTTCAATCCAGTTACCAAGGCTATTCTGGATCCTTGATAATTTCAGTGTCTTACTTCTCCCATTAACTTGAGCATGGAAGAATTTAGTGTTTCTATCGCCATCTTTGAACCATAACATGCATGCTTTTTGTCTCCAGAATTCTTCTTCTAATGCAAGATATTTAATCATTTCAGCTTGGACCTGTTGTAATCTTTGTCTATTCATCTGTGTAGGATTGACTTCAAATTGTCTTTCATGAACCAAGACCACCCCCTCAAGGCTTGCAATCTTCTGGAATATATCCCCATATGTAGCTCTGCTCCATGTAGATAGTGCTTGTTTAAGCTTTTTTAACTTGTATTTAAAAATACAGAAAGGGTTAACACTAAAATCAGCATTCCAATTCTCCTTTACTACATCTTTGAAGGTTTCATGCTTTGCCTAGAAGTTAAGAAATCTGAATGACTTCTTAATTGGAGGAGTTTCTATATCACATTTTAGCAGCATTGGGCAATGATCAGACCCGATTTTGGATAGGTGAGTTATCTCCAATCCAGGAAAGGTCTGTTGCAATTCATTATTGCCAAAACATCTTTCCAATCTTTTAAAAATGCAGTCCTCCTCTGATCTTCCATTCCACCATGTAAATATGCTTCCTTTAAAACCCAAGTCTGTCAAGTTGTAGGTATTGATGCAGTGTCTGAAGTCATCTACTTCAATGAGGGAAACTGGCAATCCCCCATATTTCTCTTCCTCATCCCATATCACATTAAAGTCTCCTCTAACTAGCCAAGGTACTGTCATATCTGATGCCATTGCATACAACGTATCCCATAGTTTTATTCTTTCAGTGCGATCATATTTGGCATAGACTAGTGTAAGTATGAGCTCAACATGTATTTCAGAGTGCTGTTGAGTCATGTTATATAAAATAGTAACCTCAAAAATTTCATCAATAAAAGCCCAAATCTTGTTTGACACATTCACCACAGCCTGTGCCAAACCAATTCTTGCTCTATACCTCTCCATTTTATGAGACTGTTACATAGGCTCAAGGATTCCTATGAACTCAAAATGATGTTTTCTGTGCATTGTAATCAGCCTTTCAAATGCTTGCATTGTGTTTACTGACCTGACATTCCATATAATGGCATCCATTAAATGTTTTGGGATTTGGACAGTGTTCTCCTTGTTTGTACTCCACTAACTGGGACAGTAGAAGTCTCTTTTGAGTGTTTCTTTTTTCCCTTTGCTGCAGATTTTACTTGGTCAATTAGCCTTGGCGACAGATCTCCCTTCTTGGCAACATTAAGGAAATTTTGTGTAGTGGATTCCTCATCAATGTCTCCACCTTTAAGTTCTGCATTGTTAACTTGATCATGTGCTTCTACTTCTTCTTTTGATGTAACAATATCCTCTGCCTGGTTGATAAGTTCAGCATCTTTTGCATCATGTTCATTGGTCAACAACATTGTATTGTTCAGTGGAACGTTACTTCCTGCTACATCCTACACGGTGCTTAATGGAACAATACTTCTTGCATAAAACTGCACTGTCATAGTTCGGTTCTTGTCTGCATTCTTGTCTTGTTTCTTGTCTGCATTTTCAGCTTCCTTCAAGACATTACTAACAACATTATGTGAAGTCCCTCCTGGATCTATAATATTAATATTCCCCTCTTTTGTCTTTTCTGTTGCTACATTTGTGCATTCGCTGATGCTTTGAATATTGATTGCATTGACATTACAATTAAAACTTTGATCCTCATCTTCCACTTCATTTCCTCCAAATTCTTCATCACTATGCATTGTATCTGGAATCTGACCATCTGCTAGGTGTTCCTCTGTTTGGTTGAGCAATAGTCTCCCTCCTGCCCATTTTTCTTTTTCATCGGTCATGAATTTCTCAAAATCTGTATCTTCAACAAATTCATTTTCTTTGTTGTTTGCTAATTGTTGTTAAACTTTGGTGTCCTTTGAAGAAATGTCTTGACATGAAGTATTGACTTGAACACCATTATTTTTGAATGCTTTTTGGAACCAATGGGCAGTTGACTCATTTTGAAAATGCTGCTCATTCCCCAAATCGTTTTGTACACAATGAGTTATTGCTTCCCTATTTGCTGCATGATTTTTTATTGTTGTAGGATTGAAAGTAGGTGCTGCAGGGTTCAGTTTCTTGGGTTGTGTCTTGGATGATTGTCTCCTAGATGAGCTAGGATAAGTTACCTTTTGTACTATTTGTCTTGTTGAAAAATCAAATTCCTGCTCCTCTGACTCATTCTCTACACCTGCCATGGAATTATTTTGCTGAATGTTGTTGCTTGTGGTTTTTTGAACTGGAGTTTCCTCCACAGCTTCCAATTGGTAACCTTCATTGATCTCACCATTTTCAATTTCTAGCACTGCAAATTGGTTGGTTTTTTGTATTTGTTTTGTCACAGCTGTATTGTTAAGAAGAACTATTTCTTTCCCCTTCTGCAGTAGTACCTTCAGATTGTTTGCCTTTGTTTAGTCCCCTATTGTCTCGAACTTTCTTCCATCGAGGGCCTGCATTACCAACTACCTTACCACTAGTAAGGATCATCAAAGGAGCATCATGTTTTGCCGGTTTCTTAGTGCCTTGTTTCACATTTTCGACATTTTCCTGCTGCTGGTCATTTTTGCTTTCCCTTAAATCAGGATTAATTCTCCAACATTCAAGCATGTCATGACCTTGTAACTTGCACTTTTTACAGTACTTTGGAAAATAATCATAGTTAATGGTATTAGACAGATACCCTTGAGCGGACAACTCAAGAGGGAAAGGCATGGAACCATCGACTGCACTGTTGATCGACTGGTTTTACCGCAAATACGCCTTTGCCAAATTTAAAAGGTAATAATATTGGAAGAGCGCAACCACTCATTATAAGAGTTGCTATGGTATTTGTTTGGCACGAGTGGAATATGATGTTGAAGATGCAGTTTACAAGAATGAAACAAATTGACATGTATTTTCACGTTCATAAGATAAATGATTACATTAATTGCAGTAATTACAATAACATTGAAATAAAGTAGTAAACGAAAGTAGCTAAAGGAAAGAAAAGACATGAAGAGCCAAGTCAGTATCGTAGTGAAAGAATAAAAGACGGTAAATAAAGCAATTAATGAGATAATAAAGTCACAAACAACATGCAATGGTAAAAGCCTAAAGAAATTCCCCAGGAGAGTCGCCATGCTGTCGACGCCCCCTCTTTCATTGGATGGAGGGTCCGCAAATCGGGTGTACGACATTATGGAAGGACAACTCTTATTCCCTTGCGAGGATTGGGTTATGGAGTTTTGGAGAGTCACCACTTAATGATTATAGTGCATTAGGACACTTTAAGAACGGTTTGAGATGAAGAGACCAGAGATTAGGGTAACGGCTAGAAATTATCCCGAGTGGAAGGTGTTAGGTACCCCTCAAGATCCACTAGTGTGGGTCCCGGCCATGTTGCAATTGTGACTTTACAACTAAACAATCAAGGCTCAAATAAGGATTCACACATAACATTGCANTCAGAGATAGAAATATCTAAGGAAAGGGTAAGTTGCAATTGTTTTAAAAGACAATTACAGGGTCAGAGTAAAACGTTTAGGAAGAATGTTTAGAAAGAAACTGTTTCAGAAAAAGATGCCGATTTGAGGGATTTAAAAACATACTGAGTCAAGAGAGTTTTTGTCAAAGAATTAAGACTTCTGAAATCGTTGTTGTATTAAGACGTTAAGGACCAGTTAATAGATCATTATTACTTTAAGTGAATCAGACGAGTTTGCTGCAAATCCTATAGGCATGATATCTATTTTGATTTTTAAAACCTATTATTGAACTTGTAAAAGATGATTGTGTTAATTAACCCTACAGTTTGCCTAATGCATATGCATTCCTTATAGGCATGATCTCTATATG